ATTTTGCAAAGCTACTTATGTAGAATTTCTGCTGTGCACTACTTTAAACAGTAGTGCACAGTACTCTAAACAGGACATCTAAACAGGTGAGATCTTTCCAGTAACAGAAAAGACTTAATCAGTCAGATTTTCTGTGTTGCACAGGTGTTTAAAAGGCCAGAAGCCTTGAAAAGATCCAACAAATAAAGTCTTACAGGTACCACACCTGTCCAGCCTGTTCTGTTATGTGCCATCAAGTTACTGATGGGGACTCTATGAGTGAAAGCCCTCCAAAATGCTCTGTTCTTGACAGATCCAGTCAGCTCTTCCAAGTTCAAAGTCATGGCTTCCTTTAAGGAATCAATCCATCTTGTATTTGGTCTTCTTCTTCTGCCTTTGACTCTCCCTAGCATCACTGTCTTCTGGGAGTCTTTCCTTCTCATGATGCGTCTGAAGTAGGACTACCTCAGTTTTGTCATTTCTACTTCTAAGGAAAGCTCTGACTTAATTTGATCTAGGACTCCCCTGTTTGTGTCCATCCAGGGTATTCACAAAGCTCTCCTCCAGCACCATATTTTGAATGCATCAAAATTGTTCCTCTGTTTTCCATCCTGCCTACTCAGAGTAAAATTCCCTTTTCCCACAGCTGCAGTGTACTCTACATGGGGCTGGCTTGGAAGACTGCTCAGAAGCCCTGTTTATGCTTAATGTGTCAGCCAGAAGCTCCAGGCATAGAAGTGCAGAACTGACCAAGCCCAATTCAAGACACTGTGTTGAATGTATAAAACCCTACATGGCTTGGGACCACATGCTTACACAGGGACCATCATCAACATGTGAGGCATTCCTTCAAGTGCTATCACAAGGGAGGCCTTCTTGATGGGGCTCCTCCAATCATTCTATATTTATTAGATTTATATGTCACCTTTTTTCTTTTTTTAAAGAATTCAAAGTGGCTTCCCTCATTCTTCTCCTGCTCTCAGTCTTATCCACACAACAACCACCCTGGGAGGCAGGTTGGGCTGAGTGTGTGACTGGCTCAAAGTCACCAAGTTGGCCCCATGGCTGAACGGGGACTAGAACCCGAGTCCCAGTCCTGTGCTTTTAACCACTACACCACACATGGCATGATCTCCTCACTGCAGCCTGCTTGGCACCAACACTGTGAACTTTTTGCACCAAGCTAAGACTATCTACTCTCAAGCATTTGAAGGCATATGATGGGATGTAAGCTCTTTTATCAGGGACCAGTTGCTGTTTCATTGAAATAGCATCTATCTGTAGCTTAGGCTGTATTTCATTTTTGTAGCTGTGTATTGCAAAGAGATCAAACCAGTCAATCTTAAAGGAAATCAACCCTGACTTCTCTTTAGAAGGCCAGATACTGAAGATGAAACTCAAATACTTTGGCCACCTAATGAGAAGGAAGGACCCCCTGGAGAAGACCCTGATGCTGGGAACAATAGATGGCAAAAGAAGAAGGGGGCGGCAGAGGATGAGGTGTCTGGATGGAGTCACTGGGGCAGTGGATGTGAGCTCGGGTGGACACCGAGGGATGGTGGAGGACAGGAGAGCCTGGGTCACAATGAGTTGGACACAACTTTGTGACTAACAACAATTGTAAATTGTTGTGTTTTAAGAGCGCCCGAAAAGCCCTGCTGGATCAGACCCAAGGTCCATCCAGTTCGGCACTCCGTACACAGGGTAGCAAACCAGGATCCCTCCAGCAGGATGGGCACAATACCTCGGCCTGCCCAGCTCCTCAGCCACTGGTGTATTCAGGCAAGCTGCCTTTGGTAAAGGAGGTAGCCCAAGACCAGGACGGTTAGTATTTCATGGATTTGTCCAGTCCGCCTTTAAAGCCATCCAGAGTGGTGGCCAGTACCGGCGGCAGCAAATTCCATAGTTTAACTGTGTGAAGAAGTCCTTCATTTTATTTTTCCCAAACCTCGCAGTGATCAGCTTTCTGGGATGCCCTGTTTGGGTTCGAGTGTTATGGGAGAGGGAGAAAAATCTCTCTCTTTCTCCACACCAGCCATAATTTCAAACAGCTCTATCATTCCTTGTCTTTTTTCTAAGCTGAACAGTCCAAGGTGTTGTAGCTGCTCCTCAAAGGGTCTTGCAGATTGGCCAGAGAGCTTCAGCGGGGGGGCGGGGGGGCGGGTACAGAAATGAAATGTATAAAAATAAATAACTGAATCAAGGAGTCAAATTCTGAGTCAGTGACAAGATTTTGAGTTTCACAGGGCTCTTCCGCAGCTAGCTTTAAGTAATAAAACTAGGTGTGTGAGTGGCTTTTCATGCTTTTGCTGCAGCTTTGTTCTGGCACTAATTAGATGTTAGTGCCAGAACAAAGAAACATGTTCTGGCATTAATTAGATTGGTCTGGGAGATCTTATGACAAGGTTGTGACAGAACTAAGCAGGTTGATGAAAATTACATTCCATTCGAATAGAAAACTCATGGAAAAAGCACCATCTGCACAGGAGAAAGGTGAAATTGCGTTATGAATGACAGTCCGCACGGGTTAGAAACCACAACATGGCTCCTTTTACATGTGGGGTGGGCAGCTTGTAGTCCTCCAGGTCTTCTGGTCTACAGCATCCACAACTCCTCACCATTGGCTATTTCTGCTGATAAGAGTCCTAAGCCAGGCGTCCGGCTCGCCCCTGCTTTGCACAAGGTTGAACTTCCCCACCTGCAGGGCTTTTGCCCTGACTTCGCTTCTGCTTCTTCCAGCTTCGAAGGGGCAAGTGGCAAAGGCAGAGCCAGAGGCAAAGCCCACTGTACCAACGCTCACGCTTCAGGCACTGCTGGGGACTCACTCCCAAGTCCAACTCGGGTTGCCTCAGTGACTCAGACTCAGCTCGGGAGTAGTGAGCGAGCGCCCCAATTTGACTTGAGATTTTTACTGTTTTTACAGTCGTGGAGTCGGCTTTACTGCCCGCATCCAACGTGCGGCAAGATATCCTGGGGCAACCTCTGCACAGCAGAGGTGGTGGGAGGGAGCGAGTTTCAAGGGGGGGACAGGATAGCAGGGAGGACGTTGTTCTAGAGGGAAGAGAAGGCAAGGCGAGGGCGGGAACACGGGGGGTTACAACCCTCCCGCTCAGGCCCCACCACCGCCTCCCTTTTTCCTGTTAAAATTGGCCCTTGAGAAGAGACTGGAAACTTGACTGGAAAATGTCTTGCCATGACTTCAGACTCAGCTTGGGACTTGACAGTAAAGACTTGAGACTTGGAGTGAAGGACTTGAACACTTCACCGCTTCTCGAACTAATACTACCGTGTTTCCCCCAAAATAAGACCTATCCTGAAAATTAGACCTAGTACTATTTTTGGTACTTGCTAAAATACAAGACCTACCCCGAAAATAAGACCTAGCTGTGTTTATTCCCAGGGCCAGTGGGGAACATAAAGAGCCTTTTTAAACTTTATTTTTAAACTTTAACTTAATGCACTGTGTGGAGGAAACATGCTTCTGCGGCTCTGCTCCCTCCGCTCCCTGTGGAGGGAGCAGAGCCGCATGAGCCAATGCTTCCTCTATAGCGCCGGCTCCTGTCACAGGTGGAGTGATACCAAATGTACCGATTGTACATGTATTCATGCTGTTGTACATGAGTAAGTGTGGATTGTTGTACACATTAAAAAATAAAAAAAAGGCCTACCCCGAAAATAAGACCTAGTGTGTTTCTGTGAGGCAAAACAAATATAAGACAGTGTCTTATTTTCGGGGAAAGACGGTATCTTACCATGACTGATGCCTACCAGTCCTTCTCAGGGGCAAAACATACCATGTAGAATTATATTAAGTGAACTGCCTGCCGTTGATGTCTTTGTGCCACTCTCTCAAGGCACTTAAAGCGACCTCCACAACCCACAAATCTGACTGCCCTCCAAGCCTTGAGCCACTGGGTAAGACAAACACCCCAGCAAGGGGCCACGGCATTCACGAGCACACGCATTTGGGGCTTCCTCGCCATCGGTCGTTATCCGTCATGTTGCGACACCAATGGAAAGGACCGCTAACCCAATGGAAAGCCAGCAATCCCAAGGGGAACCGTAAACAAGGCAAAGAACTTTCCGGAATGGGGCAAGTCACTGGAGCTCCTGGAAGCCTGGCTGACTGAAGCGCTCACTTCAACTTGTCTTCTAGGCTGCTCGAAGCAAGTCCTGGCTTCTTGCTGCTCTTGCAGTTGTGCCCATGAGTGCAAAGGGTTTAGCACTGAATGTCGGAACTGGATACTCGCCGCAGATTGATCTGGTGTCAGTGGCTGCGCGTCTGAAGCTGCTCTCCATGTTAGAAGACTTAAATCATCCCGAGGCAACTGACACTGGGCATTCTGGGACAGTTACCACAGATTCAGGTCACACTCCCCCTGAAGGAGCCGGATCGTAGCCTGGGGGCACTCCTTGGTCCACCGTTGTCACTTGAGGCTTGGGTGGCTTCAGTAGCTCTGAGGGCCATCTTCCACCTTTGGCCGGTGGCCCAGCTGCACCCCTACCTGGACTGAGCTAGCCTGGCTTCAGTGATCTATGCTCTGGTAAACTCTAGACTAGACTACTGCAATGCAGTCTGTGTGGGGCTACCCTTGAAGATGGTTCCGGAACTGTGGCTGCTGCAGAATCCAGCAGGCAGGTTAATAATGGAGCCACGGGTCTGAAAAGACCAGTTCTGGCCCATTTGCATGGGCTTCCTGTATGCTGCTTCCAGTCCCAATTCAAGGTGCTGGTTTTAACTCATAAAGTCTTAGGGCCAGCTTAGGACCACAACACCTATCCGAGCACCTCTCCCAACCACCATCTACCTGGTTCAGCCTCTGGGACCTTCCACCAGGTGCCTGCTCCAAGGGAGATGTGGATAGTGGCAGCAAGAGGGAGGGCTTTCTCTGTGGGGGCCCCCCCATCTTTGGCATAGCCTCCCCACTGTGACCTGGCTTGCACTGGATCTGTCATTTGTTCAGTGCCAGGTTAAGACGGACCTCTTTTCTGAGGCTTTAAAATATTCAGCTACCCAGGTGTTTTGCAGTTACCCTTTTTTATTATTCCTCATTATTGTCTGTTTGTATCATCTGCTTTTAGCCATCTGAAACTTTTAAATATGTCTTCCGATTTTTAAAATTGCATTTTATTTGCTTTTATGGACTGTGTCAACCACCCAAATAGCTTTGGCTGTGGGGGGTGGGGGTGGGGGATAATTAAAATTGTTGCAGTCCGGTAAGCCTAGCACTTTCAGCAACTACATGGCCAGAAAACAAACAACAACAGAAGCAGTTTAAAACAACAGCTCTCAAAATTGAAAAGGTGGCAATACCATTGCTTATGGTTTCTAACATGTTTTCAGAATGTTTATTCATCCAAAGCAGTTCTTTTTATTGATTTGCTTGTATTTATATCCCACCTTCTGTCCTTTGAGGAACTCGGAGCCTCGCAGAACCCTCCTCCTCCACTCTCAACACTGTCCTCCCAACAACAACCCTGTGAGGTAGGTTAGAATGAGCCAAAGCCACTCTCTGGCTGAGTGGGGACTCAAAACCTGGTCCTATGGAATCTCAGTCCAACATCTTCACCACTACACTACCCTAGCATATATGTTATATTCTATACTTTGCCCTTGTTAAGAATGAAGGGCAATTATAAACTACATAACTATTATTTATTCTTCTTATCAAGGGAAGTTCTGACTACATTTGCGGCTTACCAGGCACACAGCTTCACCGCCCCACCATTTTTCTACCTGGAGCCGTGCCAACATATACACACTCGCCCACCGGGCAGTTCCAGGGTTTTGAATATAAAAGGAGTGACTTGTGTTACTTCAGAGTTTCCACTCTGAACTGCAGTCATTCACACCTACAGAAGAAGTTACCGCTGATTTAGAAGTCCTGCTTCTTATTTCCCCTATACGGCCTGTCTTCTTGGTTTTTAATTTGCCGCTTTGTAACACTGGACGGGGTACACACAGCAAATCGGCTGCAATCGAAGCGACTCCAAAATAAGCCAAGATGAATCCGCTTGCTGATGCAAGGTCCTTGAACACTGTGATATTTGGTAGCCTGGAGGGTCAGCATGTCATAGGACATCAAAGACTGAGAGACAAAGGCTGTTGAAATGAAATAATGCTTCCTTGCTGCTAAACCTTCTGTCATTTAGAAGCTTCAGGAGGACTCAGAACTGCTCTGGATAAAGAGACATTCTCAAAACAAGTTGGGAAACAAACACTGGTGGAATTTTCTTGCCCCTTCAATGCCTGGGGGGGGCACACAAGGGAAGATCTTCTGATACTGCGCTAGGTAACCATATTGTACAAAATACAGATCACTACTGGAAACAGCCCAATAGCAATATAATCCCTTTAAAGGAAAATATATACATTGGATTCCATGAAATTCCAACATTTCCCCAAAGCCTTAAAGTGGAAGTGTAGAAGAATGCACAGAAACTGATGCCAAATGTAGCTGACAGGAGAGCTCAGTTCATTAGAAATGGATGGGGACGGGTGGGTAAGAGGAGCACACCTGGGAAGGCAAAATATGCAGACTGGAAAACAATACAACATCGCCACCTGTTATTTTGAATGCGTGGTGAAGGAGAGCAAGAACTCTTTGGACACCCTCCAGAAAAGCCACTGCTTCTGCGGAGGGAAAGCTCCAAAGTGGGGAAAAGCCTGCGCCAAAAGGTGGTCTGTACCTGACTGGAGAGCTGATGGACAACAGTTATCTTTTGACCCTAGTTTCAGTCTAAGCAGCCTGCAGTGCTGAGGAAATCCAGAAAGCCTTGCATTAAAAACAGGCTTGTGAGGGCAACTCTTGTGCAATTGGGAGACTCTGGTTAATTCTTGTATCCTCAGACGGTTGAGAAGTCCATAAAATCTCATCGTGTGGCAAAGAGTGGTTGCGGGGAAAAGCCATTCTGCAGCGAGCGAGCGAGTCTATCCACGTTTGCTATGGCGAGGGGAGGGCAGTCTTCTACCAAAGCCATGATTGCTGATTGGCTCGTGTCTCTATGACATCGTATCCAGGTGTATTGCTTGAGCCTTTTCTTTGGTTGTGGAAGACCAGGTTCCAAAACCTTCTGCAGTGGTGGGGATGCAAATGATGAGGGAGGGCTTCAAAGCAGGTTCTCTAGCTCCCATTGGACAGAGCCTCTGTGACATCACATCCAGGCACATGATTGGAAGGGCCTTACCAGGCACAGAGCTTCGCCGCCCCACAATTTTTCTACCTGGAGCCGTGCCAACATATACACACTTGCCCACCGGGCAGTTCCAGGGTTTTGAATATAAAAGGAGCGACTTGTGTTACTTCAAAGTTTCCACTCTGAACTGCAGTCATTCACACCTACAGAAGAAGTTACCGCTGATTTAGAAGTCCTGCTTCTTATTTCCCCTATATGGCCTGTCTTCTTGGTTTTTAATTTGCTTCTTTGCAACATTGGTTGGACAGGGGTACATGCAGCAAATCAGCTGCTATCCAAGCGACTCCAAAATAAGCCAAGATGAATCCGCTTGCTGATGCAAGGTCCTTGAACACTGTGATATTTGGTAGCCTGGAGGGTCAGCATGTCATACGACAACAGTGATATTTGATCAAGAGAAAGACCACCTCATTGGCACATCCTTCCAAAAGGACCTTTAAAAAAAATCACTGTCAGACAAAAAGCTCTCAGTTGGTCAGAAGATTGGCTTTTTGAAGAAAATACTTTTTTTCTTGAGTGTTTCGATCCCCCAGTGATGACTAAAGCTGGAGGGCTAGCCAGAATCTACATCTTTTATATGGCTTCTCTCCTGTGTAGATTTCTGATAGTTGTTTAAAAGAAACAAAATACTCAGTCTGAGTTTCTCTTATTGGCAAAGGAAAAGCACAGTGCCCTAAGCAGCTTTTCACAGGGACACGAGTTAGCCCATGAGACCTGGAAGTTCTTACAGAGGTCAAGGAGTACCTCAAAACTCACTCTGAACTATTTGTGTCAAGAGACATTGTTGCTGCTTTCCCTTGTGATGGAACACAGAGGGAATCCCCTTGACATTTCTCAGGTCCTGAGCTGAGAAACTGTTGCAAGTTTGAGTTCTGACTGTGGGTTTTTGAATGCAGAGAAAGGCCTGCGCTTGCATATCTAAGCATTTACATCCAATATTTGCTTCATGGATTCTCTGATGAGTAGCAAATTCTTAAGGTATAACAGAAGCTTTCTGAGTAGCAGTGTGATTTTTTTTTCATAAATGGTTCCTCCTACTGGTGACCACCAATAAAATCCAATTTGTCACTGTAGTCTATAGGTAATGTCCACAGTGTGGGTTCTTCTACAGCCTTCCACCAGTGTGTGAGCATATACACAATCTTGTATATTTATGTGTGAATTCTCTGGTGCTTAATAAGATTCTCATCTGAACAGAAACTTTTCCCACAGTCTGAACATTTATAGGGGTTCTCCCCTGAGTGAATTCTCTGGTGCCTAATAAGGTTTGAACTCTGGCTAAACCCTTTCCCACAGTCTAAACATTTATAGGGCCTTTCCCCTGTATGGCTTCTCCGATGTATTACAAGCTGTGACTTGGCTACAAAGGATTTCCCACAGTCCAAGCACTGAAATGGGTTCCCGTTCATGTGGATTCTCTGATGTGTAAGAAGCTTCATGGGAGAACGGAAACTTTCCCCACAGTCCGAACATGGAAACAGCTTTACTCCTTGGTGAGTCCTCTGATGGACTGTCAGGTGGGAGCTCTGACTGAAACATTTTCCACAGGCCACACATTTGTAGGGTCTCTCTCCAGTATGGATTCTCTGATGAATAATAAGGTATGATTTGGAAATGAATGATTTTCCACAATCCAAGCATTTTGTATTATTACTATTAGTTTTGTTATTATTAGTCTTATTTTTCTTCTTATTATTACTATTATGCGGTTTCTTTGCTGTGTGGATACTCTTGTGGGTAATAAGCTGAGAGCGTACTCGAAAGCTTAGTCCACATTCAGAGCACTGGAATGGCTTCTTTCCCACGTGAGTTCTTTGATGGACATTAAGGTGTGAACTCTGACTAAAACTTTTGCCACACGCCAGACATTTATATGGTTTCTCTCCTGTGTGCATCCTCTCATGTATGATCAGGTAAGACTTGAAAATGAAGGTTTTGCTGCAGTAGGAGCACTTATGCGGTCTTTTTGCTTTATGGATTCGCTTGTGTGTGATAAGGTGAGACCTCACCCTGAAACTTCTCCCACAGTCTGAACACTGGAATGGCTTTTTCCCTGTGTGGGTTCTTTCATGAACTGTAAGGTGTGAGCTCTGTGTGAAGCTTTTCCCACAGACCGAGCATTTGTACGGTCTCTCTCCAGTGTGAATTCTCTGGTGGATGATAAGGTATGATTTGGCAAAGAAGGACTTCCCACAGTATGAACACTTATGTAGTTTTTTTACTGCGTGGATTCTCTTGTGAGCAATAAGGTGTGAATGCACTTTGAAGCTTTTCCCACACTCAGAACATATATACTGGCTCTCTCTTGTGTGGATGGTTTGATGCTTCATAAGGTTTGTACTAGAACTGAAACTTTGTCCACAGTCAGGGCAAGGGAAAAGCTTCACCCCTGTGTGTGAGCATTTGTGGGCATTAAGATGTGAACTTTGGCTGAAACTTTTCCCACAGGCCAAGCATTTATATGGTCTTTCTCCAGTGTGAATTCTCTGGTGGATGATAAGGTAGGATTTGGTAAAGAATGATTTCCCACAATATGAACATTTATGTGGTTTTTTGGCTGTGTGGTTCCTCTTATGAGCAATAAGGTGGGAATTCACCCTGAAGGTTTTCCCACACTCAGAACATTTATAACGGCTATCCCCTGTATGAGTTTTTTGATGCTGGATAAGGCCAATTCTGGAATGGAAGCTTTCTCCACACTCAGAACACTGGAATGAGTTTACTCTTTTGTGGGTCCGTTGATGGACATTAAGGTGAACTTTCTGGCTGAACGTTTTCCCACATTCCAAGCATTTGTAGGGTTTCTCTCCAGTGTGGGTTCGTTGATGTATAATGAGGTGTGATGCAGCAAGGAAAGATTTCCCACAGTCTGAACATTTATGCGATTTCCTCCTTGCATGAATCCGCTTATGGGCAATAAAGTGAGTATGCACCTTGAAACTTTTCCCACAGGCTAAGCATTTATAAGGGCTCTCTTTTATATGAATACTCTGATGTTTGGTAAGGTTGGTGCTGGAACAGAAGCTTTTTCCACAGTCAGCACACTGAAACGGCTTCACTCCTGTGTGGATTCTTTGATGGACCGTGAGGTTAGAACGCTGGGCAAAAGTTTTCCCACAGGCCAGGCATTTAAATGGCTTTTCTCCTGTATGGATTCTCTGATGAATAATAAGGTGCGCTTTGGCAATAAAGGACTTCCCACAGTCTGGGCATCTATGTGGTTTCCTTTCATCATGGTTTCCTTTGCGGGAATTGCAGTGAGAGATTACATTGAAGTTTTTCCCACCATCAGAGCATTTATACATGTCACTTCTCTCTTGTTTAATAAGATTAGACCTCTGCCTGAATCTCCATCCACCAGCCTTATATGCCTTTTTCTTCTTCCCTTTGTGGATTGTCTGTTGTCCTGTAGTCCCATCAAGGGATTCATCACCCTCCCAAAGAACAGATGTTTCCGCTCTCTCCTGAAGGTTATTTCCCTTTTTTTTCCCTGCTTGGTGCCAATTATCAGAAGCGTTTTTCTGCTCATTAAAGTGGAAAACCTTACTTTCTGGTTTCCCCCCTTTTGGTGTCTTGTTCAGGTGTGGTTGATCAAAAGCTTCCATCTGAGACAACTCCTCTTCATTGGCGCTTATCCATCCTTCACCTGCTGGAACACAAATGACACTTTAAGCACGGTGACAAAAAAATTCATCTTGCAAAACTCCTGCACTAACCTAAATAATAGGTTATCTTGGAAATATTTGTTCAAAACAGAGTGTTGTCTTCCAAATTTCTCTCATAAGCAAATCTCTTCTAAGCTATGATTTTCATAAAGAAATATCGAGATGGATTTCCTGTATTACATTTGATCCGTTTAAGTGATGCAAGGCATTTCACTGGAAGTCTTTGTTCTACTTAGTTCTATTTTCCACTAACCCAGGAGCCTGCAATGTGAAAGATGAAATTTTCCCAGCTAAACTGAGGAAAGGCCAACACATTTTCCAGAAAAGAATAATAAGAAAATTGTGAGTTACTTTATTTACCTACTTATTTTCAAATTTATATGCTGCTCAATAGCATGACAGGGCTCTCTCAGCAGCTAACAGGATATAGCAAACAGTGCTTTATAACAAATGAACAGTACAATATAACAAACTAACAGGGAGAATAGGAGAGGGAAACAGTTGGAGTGGGGTGAGCACAATCACTTCCTATATTCAGGTTCTGTAAAATCAGAGAAAAGGGATGGTCTTTGCCTGGTGCCAAAATGAAAGAGGGCAGCACCAAGTGGACCTCTTTAGGAAGTCCATTTCAAAGGCTGGGGGCAGCCACCGAGAAGGCCCCTCTTCCAAATGCCACGCCATAGCGCCTACTGGACTACTATCCCATCTCGTTTTCAGAAACCGGTCCTGTGTACGACACAAAGGAATGAAGGCTGACATTAAATATTGTGAGAAATGCCGTCCAGATCGAAGAGAGTGAAAAAAGAAACCTGCCAAAGGGAAGCCTCTGTTTTGAAGGGACGCGCAGCTGAAAAAGGCTGAGTCCCACCCACTCTCTTGAAAACTCATTTCGAAATCTCTAGTCCAGCCTTCCCCAGTTCAGCTCCCTCCAGGAGTCCTGTACTGTGGTTTTCACCGGTTCCAGCCACCATGGTCAATGATGAGAAAGGATGGGAGTTGTAGTACAAAACATCCATAGGGACCTAGGTTAGGGAAGGCTCTTCTAAAATGTGTCATGTCCCCTGTATGTCCCCCATTCAATTCTTTCTCAATCAAGAATGTATTTATTTAAAACTTTTTAAAACTGTTCCTTACCACAGTCTTGGGATGGTTTAGCAGTAAGGCAAAAATAAAACAAAACACAGCATCCTAATCAAATTCTTAACCAGTCAACAATAAAACCTGTATTAAAATAACAGCCAATCCTTAAAATATTGGGAAAATAAAAAAGTTTTAGCCTAAAGAATGAAGTGCCAGTGCCAGGCGAACCTCTCTGGGGAGCGTATTCCACAGCTGGGGCACCACCACAAAGAAGGCCCTTCTCTGGGTAGTCACCCTCCTAACCTCCTTCAAGGTGGGCTCCTGGAGAAGGGCCTCTGCCCCAGATCTTAAGGCGTGGGCAGGCACATATGGAAGAAGACGCTCCTTCAGGTAAGTTGTTCAGGGCTTTGCAGGCCATCACCAGCACCTTAAATTCCAAGCTAGGTAACAGTACCTCACGGGAAATCTGAAATATGCCTGTCCTTCCCTGCCGCCAGCCTGCACCTGCCTTCGGGGCCTGGCCAGTGCAAAATGAATCATGTCAGCCTCAAGGGCAGGGAGGGCACCCTCCAGCGCTGGAGTCTAAGTTCTGAGTTTGGTGTGTTCTTTCAAGGTCAGAGCTAGGATTCTGACCTATCCTATGCCTGCCCCCAGACCATTTTGGCAGGCCCCAGAACATAAAGATGTATATTCCGCCTTTTTCAAGAACTCGTGGCAGCTTACATCGCTCTGCTCCTGCTGCTCTCCCTCTTATCCCCACAACAACAACTCTGTGTGGTACGTTGGGCTGAGGTTGTGACTCGCCCAAAGTCACCAGGGGGTTCCATGGCTGAGCGGGGACTAGAACCCAGTCTGCCTGAGTCCCACACCTGTGCTCTTAACCGCTATGCCACACTGGCTCTCATAAATTCCTAAATAAATCCATACATCCATAAATGTATACATCGCATCCGCCACGGTGGTTCCACATTGCAGCCCCATTTAATTCAATGGAGGGCTCCCCTGCTTACCAGCAACCTTTTACCAGCAGTTCTTTTACCATCAGCTGCTCTTTGTATTTGTTGGAGAGAAACGGGACGTGGCTCTTTCAATGAAATGGGGAAAAACACCACCAGGCTGGGCTTACCCAGTGAGCTGACCTCGCCATCATCAAGGTTCCCCTCGTCCTCTCCGCGGCACTGCCTCTGCTCCCCGCTCAGCGGGGCCTCTTCTTCCTCCGAGAAATCCAGAGCAACCTCCTCAATGGGCCCCAACTCCTGAGAGAAAAAGGCAATGACCGTATCAAACGTAATTTCTGAACAGCAACTTCAAGAGCAGAGGCTGCGTTCCAACATGCTGCTAAGCCGTGGTTTATATTAACCCCGGTTTGCTACCTTAGGGCACCATCCTAGGCAAGTTTGAGTGGGGCATGCTGGGAGTTGTAGGCCTTTTTTGTGTATCGACCCTCCTCAGAAGGAGCCTCTGGCCACACTCTGTCTTGCAGACAAGCTGACAAACTGTGGTTTGCTTCCCGTGTTTGTGACGGCGCTCTCTCTTGCCGTTTTGCCAGCCCCACTTCCAGACTCCTGGGCGCCTTGTGGGGTTTCATGCCCAGCCCTGGACTTGCTGTATTGCCGGAGCTCAAAAGACACCACAAATCCAGAAGAAGGCCCACAGCCTTCAAGGCCACCCAGGGGGACTTTGGGCAGCTGGGATCAGCTTTCAAGCCACCACACCAGGCCCCTGCTGCTGGCTGGGAGGGCCGCTTGGGCAACGCAGGGACCAGCCCCCGGGGATAGCTCAGGGCATCAGTTGACTTGACCACAATCTGAAGTAATGGGCAGCCCCGCTCCCCTGGGGTACCTGCGAAAGGACCAAGGGAGGCAGGAGTTGCCGCAGGACCCCAGGTGTGCCGGATGACATCCGAGGTCCCAGTGCAAAGGAGCCACAGTGGGCCTTGTGTCCCATGAACCTGCCCAAAAAGTTATGGTTTAAACAAGCCACAGTTCAGAAGGCTTTAACAAACCGCGTGGCTTGTAGCTGGTTAAGACATTACGGTTTGTTTGCAGGGGATTAGTTGTGACACAACAAGAAACCAGATTTCGATAAACCAAATCTTGGCTGAGTATGTGGCAAACCAGGCCAGGGCATGGAATTGGGGACAGGTTTCCAGCACTCCATTAAACTGCCTTCAGCAAGAGAGTCGAGAGCCAGAACCATTCAAGATAGTCCATTTATTTATCTATCAGTATTATTATATTTCTATCCACCTTTCCCCATGACTGGCTCAAAGATACCCAGGGACCTTCGTGGCTGAGCAGAGACTTGAAGCCAGGCCTCCTAAATCTCAGTCCAACCCTCTCACCACTAGGCCATGCTGCCTCTGAAATAGGAGCAGCAGATGTCACCTCCTCCCTCCACCCCCAATCAAAGTGCAGAATACCCAAAGTTAGCATGGTTATTTTGGCACATGAAGCAAGAGGCACCCCCTCCAAGCAAAACAAATAAAGCAATTGTTTAGACAAATTTTGTGACTCCCAAATTCAGTAGTCCAGTCCTGTGCAGGTCTGCTCAGTAGCAAGTGCTAGTGAGTTTAATGGGGCTTTCTCCCAGGTAAGAGGATAAAAGACCACGGATGTAGGGTGTGCGCTATTCCAGATGTTATAGTACAACTCCCTGACTACTGGCCATAGTGGCCATGTTAGAAAGAATGGAACAACATCTGGAAGGATTCAACTTCTCATGTGTGAAAGATAAAGGTGAGGTAACGGACACAAAAGAAGAAAGGAGTAAAGCGGCAGAGGAAAAAGAGGGAGAGTGAGGGAAACAAGAATTGTTCTCTATAATAATCAAAGAAATCTGTCTATCCATTTAGCTCCCTGACTATAAACCCTTCATGCTTGAAACTTGGCTTCTGTTCTCAGGGACCCCTCTGTGCCTCTGGGGGTTAATGCATTTTTAAAATGCATTAATTTTAACTTATGTAAATATAGCTGTGCGGTTAAAGTCTGCAATCTCATTTTCAGTCACTAGGTGGCAGGCTGTCCTCGCCAGAGCATTGCTTTGCAGCCCAAACAGTTTTGAGGCAGGAAAAATTAGCAGGCAGAATTATTCGGTCGTGTCCTTTTCTCTGAACACCCCCATCCCTGCCACAGAGGGTTTCTTCACCAGGTTGCAGAGATACTAATAAAAATAAGAGTCACTTGCTTTTCATTACTGGACAGCATGGAAATAAAATTAAGAGGAAGGCAAAAGAGTGTGGTGAGTTTTGGAACTGGAGGGAAGGGACCAGCTCAAGACGATCCTTTGAAATGCAGTTCTTTTATAGCAACTCCACAGTTGACAGAATAGTTTAATTCTAAATTGCCTTTTGCCAAATCTGGAAGGAAAAGCTTCTGCCTGTGCAAAGAGCTGAATCCAACCAGCTGAATTCCCCTCTCTTCCAGCAAAGCTTCTGGCTCCATTCTTGGGAGGTTCTTCCCGCTGGAGAGCGATATGGCGAGAGTGACAGAGTCCCTGCAGCTGAGCAGCTCCCCTCTCCCCACACAGTGCTGCAGGGTCGAGGACTGGGTCCCACCTCTGCTTCCCCCTCCCCCAAATATCTGTTTCTTCCAGACCTGGTGGGCTCTGAACGCTTATGGTGAACAAGCTCACTGTGCAACCTTGAAGGAGCTTCAAAGGGTCCAGATTCCCTGGCTCTTGCCCTCCCTCCCTCCCTCCTCCTCCTCCTCCTCCTCCTCCGAACCTGCACAGCCTGGCAGGCATACCATTGGATACTGGAGGCATGAGATGATCATGAGGACTAGCAACTGCACCTTTTTTAAGATCCTAAGAATTGCTCTGTAGGATCAGGCCAAGGGTCCATCCAATCCAGCATCCCTAGGCATGACAGGAGCACAGGGCTCTCTCACACTAGAGACATTCGGGGCAAAACTGCAGTGGGATGGTTGAAATTGGTGTCCTGCAAAAGGAGGGGGTTGGACCGATGGCCTTCTAGCTCCTTCCAGCTCCCCTATTCTATCCTTCTGCAATGGCATCAACCCGCCCTCGCTCCCCAGCATCGGTTGTAGATAGCCATATTGATTCTCTCTTGGAAGGGCTCACACCATTTTTCCAGTAAAATCCACAGAATGCGGCCGCTGATGCTGGAGGCAGCATATACCCGATGACTTCTCACCTGCTCCTCCCAGTGTGGGTCCGGCCGCTGCCTCTGCAGGAAATCCTCCGCCAGGGCCACCGCCTGGAAGCAGGTCTCGGGGCCCTGCTCCCGGACCCAGCTCTGCATCTCCGGCGGCAGGATGGCCAGGAACTGCTCCAGGATCAGCAGCTCCAGGATCTGCTCCTTGGAGTGCCGCTCAGCCTTCAGCCACTGGTGGCACAGCTCCTGCAGCCGGCTGCAGACGCCCCGCGGCCCCTCGGCCTCCTGGTAGCAGAACCGCCGGAAGTTCTGGCGCTGCCGCTCCCTGCTGAGGGCGTCTCCCCGCAGTATGGCGCCCTTCACCTTGTCGTAGTCCACCCTGTCTCGGGTGTCCAGGCTGCTGAAGATCTGCTCAGCCTCCCCGCTGAGGGCCGGCAGGAGTCGGGCCATCCAGTCCTCCCGCGGCCACCGGCAGGCCTCGGCCACCTGCTCAAAGGAGGCCAGGAAGGCCTTGGTGTCGTCCCACGGGGAGGGCTCCTCCGGCAACGGCGGGGTCTCCCACTCCGCGTGAGGGCACTCCAGGGTCCTTAAAAACTCCTGCCACTGGGCTTCCCAGCGCTGAAGCAGCCCATCTCCGGCGTCGTGCTCCCCCGGCGGCCTTTGCAGGAATTCCCGGATGCTGCCGGCTTGCATGATGTGAGGGGCTTCCACCAATCCCTCCCCTAAGGTGGAGTCCAGTGGGTCCTCCTCCTCCATTTTTATCCGCCGATGTACCCCTTGTTCCAGCTCCGCGTGAAAGCGCAGGCCGAAACCGGACTGCGTGGCCTCCCTGGCGGCCATCTTGTCCCAGCTGCAGAACGGCCTCATTCGAGGTAGCCCAGTCTGTGCTCCAAGACCTCTCGCTTTCTTATCAGACGCTGGAACAAATGTGCGACCTCGAGCATCAGTCTTAGCGCTGCAGAACAATTTGCTCTGTAGGTTGACTGCTTGTTTCTTGGTAAGCGGTAAAAACGGTCAGGTCTTCAGGATGAATGGAGAGTTAAGTGGATATTCTAGCAAGCAAAAGGCTTCCCTCTGCGAAGGAAAGAGACAAACATGTCTGACTTCCAATCAGGTGTCATTTCATCTTTACTGGTAGGCTTTTATGAGTGGTTTTATTTGTTTTTTAAAAAATGCACAGGATTGTATTTGAAGAGCGTTAACGTTTCAGTAATAAGCTAATTTTCCTCTGCATTTTACCGTTAAGCCCTACAGAGCGCACTCTTGAGTGGAAAGGCAGAATATCAGCTTCGTGAATATAAATATGGAATACCAAGCACAAGGTAGAAAAGGCCTCATTTCCTGAGATTCTCTGGAGGAATTAAAGGTGTGGGCGTTTATCTCCTCCCTTTGCCAATGTTTCTTCTCTATTTTTGCCCGTCTCTACAGATCCTGAAAATTGAGCAAGAAAAGAAATGGAACATGATAGACAAATGACAGGAGAGGAGACTTTTGCTCTTAAAAATCTTGACCGGTTGCATGCAGAGGGCCACATGCAAACAGGCCAGGGCCTACAGACAGCCGGCTCCTGTCCTAGGAGGTCACACACAACTGAGTCCGTTGGAAAATGTGGAGAAAAAGCGCTCTTCCTGCCTCCGTTCCCCAGCTGTGAAGCAGAAATCAGCATGACCTTCCTCAAGGGACGCTTTGGCCAGAGAAGGAGAAGTCGCAAGGTGTTTGCTTGTCTCCTTCCACCAGAAAGAAGAGCCAACTCCCGCAGGCAGTTGCCCCCGAGCTGGCAGAAGAAAGGAGAAAGAAGGGCCTGCCCACCATTAGCCAAAAAGATTCCCAGGAGCAGTGTGCATTTCCGGGCCTGCTTTGTAGCTTAAACATTCCCTCTGCCCCCCTTCCCTGGTGTGTCGTGTCTTTTGAGTGTAGAAGCTTTAAAAAAAAATCAGCAGGAGCCACTTTGGGAGATGGTAATTGTCTGGAAGGCAGGAGAAAAATGTGCTAAAACACAGAAACAGAGCAAGTCAGAAGGGGCCTCCTGAGCCATCTAGTCTGACCCTCAGTTCCAGCCGGTTCCACTCATGACACGTCCACCATGTGCGTGTCCAGCCTATCCTTGAACACCTTCACCAATGGGCTTCAGCCACCTCCTGTGGAAGCCCATTCCATACCCTGGGGTCCTAACAGTCAGGAAGTACTTCCTGGCATCCAAACTGAACCTTGGTTCCCTGAGCTTTGCTCTATTGGAACGTGCCCCGCCCGCCTCTGCAGGGGAAAACAGGTCACTACACATCTCCACGTGGCACCCCCTCATGTAAACATAATAGATAAATTAAATGTGAATAGTAGCATTCTTCATTTCCCCAAATGTGTACGCTGACCCAAACAGCCTTCCAAAACAGATCACAAGCAGCATCAGTGTAGTTTGAATGGTAAAAGTTTCGATTGTAGGTCTCTTATGAGCCCAAAAGAAATGGTCCAACTTTGCTGTGCCACTGTTTAAATTCCTAGTCATCAAGTAAGGTTGTCATTCTGTGTATATTTGGACAACAAGAAGAAAAAGATCTTGGAGTTGTTGTAGACAGCAAGGAAATATGAGCCAGCAGTGTGATGCAGCTGCAAAAAGGGCAAATGCTATTTTGGAAAGCATAAACAGAAGCATCACTTCCACGAAAAAAGAGGTACTAGTTTCCCTTTACTCTGCGCTTGACAGACCTGACCTACAATACTGTGTCCAGTTCTGGGCACCCAAGTTTTACAAAGATGCAGAGAAACTAGAAAAGGTTCAGAGGAGGACACAAAGATGATCCAGGGTCTGGAAACGAAGCTCTGCAATGCAAGGCTAGGACAGGTGGGCATGTTTAGCCTCGAGAAGTGAAGAGGAGACGAGAGAAGATATAAGTACCTCAAAGGCCGTCATAAAGAAGGAGGGGGAAACTTCCTTTCACTCATCCCTGAGTGCTGGACACAGAACAGCAAGCTTACACTACAGACCAGACACCAGACTCAGACTGGACCATCAGGAAAAGCTTCCTTCCTGTCAGAGCAATAGGACAGTGGAACCAGCTGCCCGGAGAGGTGGGGGGCTCTCCCACACTGGAGACGTTCAAGGGGAAACTGGGCAGCCATCTGAGTGGGCTGGTGTGACTTGGGGTCCTTCAACAGCAGGTGGTTGGACCCGATGGCCTTCATGGCCCCTTCCAACCCCACTAGCCTACAAATCTATGGAAAACTACAATTCCCAGCCTGCTCCAACCACCTGACTAGCTGGATGGATGCTGGGATTTGTCAGACATTTTCCGTTTAAATGCGCATGGCATGATGCCCTAAGAGAAGTAATAAGAACAAATATGGAAATGTAGGAAGCAAAGAGATTCTAACTGCTGAGATTCCAAGTAAGCAAGATGGCTCTGTTTCCCCCAGATGTGTAAGAGAGGCCATTCCACTAGACTTGCTGGAGCGCCACTTACTTTTTCCTCCTCCCTCCCTATGCTTTCTCCTCTTGTGCCACATCTTCTCAGATTGTAGGCCTAAAGGTAGAGGCTATTTTGTTTTATATCTAAGCCACTCTGAGAGCATTTCTGATTGGGCAGCAGCAGAAAAATGAACACATACACACACACAGCTTTTGTATTACTCAAAGGAATATTAAATTTATTATATTTATAGTCTGCCTTTTCTCCTTTCAAGGAACAGCTTACCTCTTCCTCCTCTCAATTTTGTCCTCACAACAACAACCCTGTGAGGTAGGCTGGGCAGACAGTCTGTGACTGGCCCAAAGTCACCCATTGGCTTCACAGTGACCAGAACCTGGATCTTCCAAATCCCAGTTCTGTGCTCTTAAACTCTGTACTACACTATAAAAAGTCATCCTAAACAGACTCACAAACCATAAATCCAAAACAATCTTATATTTAAGTGACGTATCTGCAACTTGTAAAATACCTTGAACTTGTGCAGCCATCTTAAATATACTATATTGTATTATATTAACCTTATATAATAAGAGATAAGCAAACAATTTTAAACTGCTCACCCATCAAAGAAATGAAACACAAACCATGTGCTTCATTATTTTTCCTCATTGTCTTGCTTCCTCAATCTCTAGGGACCAAATCTGGCCTTTCTGGGATCCCATCTGGTCCTCTGTGGTTTCCCAGAAGGCTATGCCCCCCTTTCCCCCAACCGGCTAGGTTCAAACAACACAATAACCCAGGCTCAGGATTTGACTATGGGTTGTTGATATGTCAAGTTCCTGTGCTGTCTGTGCTGTGATATGGTTTATGAATGGCAAACAACCCATGAAGGGATACCCATGGTTTGTTGGTGGGCTGTGAACTGTGAGGTTTGTTAGCAGGATTCAGACCAGAGGTATGAAGTATCCCCCCAACCCCTCCAGAACTATTCAGAAAACATTTTCCATTTTTTTCTAGGCCTTCACATCTCTCATTCAGACAAGATAACCCACCATCAACCCATAACACAAGTCCTGAGTGTGGGTTCAGACAACAGAACAATAGTCATTGTTCAACAGTCATTAGTCAATAGTCATTATTTCATGGTTTCCTAGGTATTTTATTTATTTATATTGCGATTTATATCCTGCCTTTTTCCTACAAAGGGCTCAAGGCAGCTTACATCATTCTCCTCCTCCATCTTCTCCCCACAGCAACAACCCTGCGAGGTAGGTTGGGCTGAGAGTCTGTGACTGGCGCAAGGTCACCCAGTTGGCTGCATGGCTGAGCGGGGACTTGAACCCGGATCGCCTGAGTCCCAGTCCCATGCTCTTAACCACTACACCAACCTGGCTCAGTGTGTTTTGCACAGTTCCACCTTCCCCTTCTAATAAGGCTGAAATGCTTCCCCCCAAGGCCTCTTTAAAGGCAAGGAATGCTTTAAACTAACATTTGCAGACCCCTGCTCCTTGCGTCTTCAGCTCTGCCTACCAGTCAACTGAGCCCTTGAGCACTTACTCAAAACAGAAACTGCCCACAGGCTGAAAGAGGTTCAAAGTTTCCACCTTAAGAGAAGGAATGATCACGCTTTTGATTCCTTAATATAGTAAACTGGCACAATCCAGACAATCTTGAAAGCAACATCCTTTATCCTAACCTTCAGCTCAAACAAATGCCCTGAATTTAAAATGCTTGTATCTAAATCCATAGCTCAGCCTTTGCCCACCCAGTGACCCCTGTGTGTGTGATTGGGGATGATGGGACTTGTTGTCCAACCCATCTGGAGGCCACAGGCCTGGGGAAGTCCACCTTAGTCAGATGACGAGCCATGGGTACAAATGGGATCTGCTCCGGCACAATCAAGAAACTGTCCAATTAGTCAATCCTAATTCAAATGCAGGGATTAATTGGTCTTTTAAGTCCTAAAGGCTCTGGAGGCTGGTTATTTGGGCCACCTGCCCACAGCTCAGCAAGTCCGGAGATGAGCTTCAGTGGCCTTGTTCATGAGCCCACCTGCAAATCAGGTAGCCTGATGCAACAGAAACTGCCTTTTTGGCCCTGTTTGTGAAAACCCCTCCGAAGGAATCCACAGCTGGACCTTGCATTGCGAGCTTTTCAAAGCACCTGCATAACCCAACACTTTTGGCTTGCTCTTAGTACAGGTGAGGGTCCAACACTTGCTTCTTTGAACTTTTTAGGGCACACTAGGAATTTCAGACATTTTTCCCCCTCTGAACATGCATAGAATCATGCCCTGATGCTCTACTCTCATATATACACTTTCCTGGGACTAAACCCTATTGAATTGAGTGGGTTTTACTTCTGAGTAGACATGCATAGGATAATCCTCCGTGAATTATCAATAAGGCTGCTGCTTTTAAATTGTTCCAGTAGTTCAAATTAGTTTCATAGCAGTTGACTTCTGAAATGCTTTAAACTACTGCAGAATCCCACTTTTGCCATCCTATGTAAGCCTCTTTTTCCTGCTGAAGGACTTGGAAGAACTTTATCTAATATATTCAGAATGAATGGATGGTTGGGTTCATTTGG